GGAGGCTTCCTGGCTCCCAAATAAAGAGGTAGAGGCCTGTATGCCTGCAGCTGGAGCAGCAGAATATTAGCCCCTTCTCCCCTTGATTTTCCATGTGCAGGTTTATGCACTAGTTGTGTGAGAGATTTCTGGTAGTAAAGGGCTCTTTAATCTTTGATATTGTGTTAAGTAGATTCTGATCAATGTTACCAATGCAAAAGCCTTTTGGTGAAGAGATCTCTGATTATATAAAACACTATAGTATCTCCCGTGACTTGGAGAAATCAAATCCAGGTACTGAAGTTTGAATACAAAGCCATATCCTAAACTGACAGTTTCCCACCTCTAGTAGGTGCTGGGATTGTTTGAAGATTTATCATACATGACCCTATAATATTCATGTTTGCTTTACAATGGGCCTGAAGTAATTCCCAAGCAGAAATAAAAATTTATTTAACAAAACATTACAAAATGACAGAACACAAGTTACGGGGGACACCAGAAGTTTCACCTCCATTAGCATTCACCAATAAAGGATGGCCAAGCTGGCATGACGCACCATGCCATCTCTTATAAATGGATCATCTGCACCCATTTATTCCAGTTGACTTCGTATGGGAATACTCTGCCCATTCTCAGAGCACAGTCTATGGTGGGCTCATAAAATACTGTTAGAGTCTCACTCAGTTTGGAGTCAGTTAGCTCTTCAGCAACAGGCCGAGAGAAAAGAGAGACTGACAAGGGCTTTTTCATGAAGAATCTTCTGATGCAACCAAGTGCTTCCAGCCCCTGTTGAAAAATTGACATGTTTTTCACTTAAGAAGTTATGTAGAAATGCAAAAACCCAGTAAGACTGTTCCGTGAGACATGCTTCATGCTTTGTTTCTCCACCTACTCTAGAGCGTGATAACAATACAAGTAAACAGCCTTGGCTCCATGAGACAGCAACTTTGCTATAGATTACAGCAATATAACTAAAACAGGAATGCAAGTCCACACAGCTGAGTATGCCCCCATTTAAGCTACTCTGCTTGTGAATCATTTTATCAATATCGTTGTGACAGGGCGCCTGCCCTGCACTGGCACTTTAAGACCAGGACTCAAGCCCTGAGCTAGGGCTGGGAACAAAAAGGTCAGCTGAAGCTGTTGGGCTAATGAGAGCCCAGCTGACAGCTATAAATAGAGAAGCACAGTTTGCTTAGGAGGGAGCCAGTGGAGGACTGAAAGTGAAGGAAGCAGGAGCTCCTAGGAGGGAGACAAGCTGGGTATAGCCAGCCAGCCAGCAAGGGCTGGGAGAGGGCCAGCCAAGACTCCCCTTGACAAGGGGCTGGAGACAAAACCCAGGTTTGGAGTTGGATCGTGATGCCGACTAGGTAAGCAGGGCACTTGAGACAACCCTGATGCCAATGTTGAGCAACCCATACAGACTGTAACTTGCCCTGAGACGGGCTAGATGAGGACAGTCAGGGGGCACTGAGGCACGGTGGGGGCTTGCACCCTGACAATCATGTTGCATTGTGTGGGGAAAAGCAGTTTGCATTCTGGGTGGGTATCCCAGCAGGGGCTGATGGCCACTACTAGGCTCTATGCATTCTGGGCCAGCCTGGGGCATAATTATGGTAATGGCCTTGGGACCCTTGAACTTACAACAAAAGCAAGTTGCAAATGCAGAAAGTCAAGGGGGTCACTGGCATTTGAACTGAAAGGGAATATCCAGCCAGCCATCTGGAGCAGCACCCTGGAGTAAGCAGACATTTCAGGAGTGGATAATATAGCATGGGGCAGCATTGGGAGGGCTAACTGACAGATCTCTCAAACTGGTGATGCATCCCTGTGATATTTACACTGCTGTAACTCACTGAATTAGAGTAACAAGTCAATTCCATACATCACAGAAATGTAGCACTGGAAGGGGGACCCTGAGAGCATTAATCCAGTTACCTGCACACTGTGGCAGGATTATATAGACCATCCCCAACAGGTGTTTGTCTAACCTGTTCTTAAAAACCTCCAATGACAGATCCCCCAACCTCCCTAAATGATGTGTTCCAGTGCCGGATCATCCTGACAGTCAGCAAGTTTTTCCTAATATCTAACCTAATTCTCCCTTGCTGTAATTTAAGCCCATTGCCTCTTGTCCTTTCCTCAGTGGTCCTGCTGCTCCTTACATCAACCTTTAACATACTTGTCTCCCTCAGTCTTGTCTTTTCCAGGTTAAACAAACTGCTTAGACTGTACGAAGGGCCAAACCTCTAAACCTCGGGTGACACTTGAAAGTGGCTTAGAAAGCAATCCTTGTTCTGCAGTTGCCGCCCAGCACCACAATAATTCAAAGAGCAGGCACTGGGAAGACACATTTCCTCCCAACCCCACCAACCGGCAAGCCACAGCCCTGGCCTAGATGAACCTGTTCAAGTGAGGAGAAGGGAACAGTCTGCAGGACCATTCACAGTTGTCGGCTTCTCTCCTGAGACTCCCGACAAGGGAGTGTGTTACTGTGCTGTGGGCAGGTGAGACCCTTTAGTATCACTCCAATGGGACAGTCACACTAAACCTAAGAGGCTGAACAGAACATTCAGCATTGCATGACAAACGTACCTGTAATATCTCCAAGACAGAAACAGGCTGAAGAACCCCCACATAATGTTGCATCAAGGTGTTTTCTGTTATGCCAGGCTTGGTCATGATGTGATAGAGCACAGCTTCCATCATTCCCTTACACACTGGCTTATTCAGCGTCCCGTCCACAATTCGCCAGGGCCTCCCAATGAAACAGACCTTCTCACAGGCTCTGCGGAGAGACAGCACACTCCCCTTAGTTGCAATTTAAAAAATGAAAAATGCAAATATCTTGCCACATAAAGGCATCTCTTCCCTTCTCCTTACATTAGTAAAGCACCCACATCAAAAGGAAAAATACAGACGTTCACATTCATCATCCTTCTGTAATTCTGTGCAAATACACTGGGCTGCAGATCCTGTTCTTGACAGTTTGCTGGCAAGCGACTGTTTTTAATCTGGGTGGTTTGACCCCAGGACAGAACTGAGTAAATAAATCTGAGCGCACTCCCTATTCAAATTGGATGGGGGGTAGGGAAGGTCTGTTTTCAGCAAGAGGCTTTTGTTTCACATCATGGTCTCTGAACAGGAACACGGGGAATGCCCAGGACATAACGTGAGCAGTAGATCACTCAGTTGCACTCCCTGAATAAGCTGGGAAAGGCAGCTAGCCAGTGAACAGAACCCATCTCAGTGCCCATCAGGAAAGCAGAAGTGCCCAGCTGATGCACTGGTCTATTCCTGCCACATGCACTGGCAAATTCTGGGACGAGCAGTGGGAGATACGGTTAGTGTCAAGTGTTACTGGGGCAGGGAAAAAGACAAGTCCCTCATCCCCCACAATATGTAGCCAGCTCAAAAGCAGGTTAAAAAGGCAAAGAAAGAAGAGATGTGTCCCTTCGCTGGTGCGCACACATTCCCAGGTACCAACAGTCCTCAACTGTCCTCACCCCACTAGCCCAGCCTCCAGCTCTTCACCCATCGGCACACACACCTTCCCAGGTACCAACAGTCCTCAACTGCCCTCACCCCACTAGCCCAGCCTCCAGCTCTTCACCCATCTCTGCAAGGAAGCTGAGCTGACAATATACAACTCTGTAGCACATTAACTATTACAGGAATAGTGAAAAAACCCCACCAGAAACCCTACTGACCAATTGCTCATTTCACATGATTTTTAATTCAATACAATCTGCATTTCTGATGTACCTGGATCTGCTGCCAAAACCAGGGGGCCAGATTCTCACACAGGGCCTTGGCCATAGTGTGCACTTCATATCTGTGTCCAAAAATGATGCCTGCTTTCACCCCAGTTCAAGGAGGCCTTGGCCATAGTGTGCACTTCATGTGTGTCCAAAAATGATGCCTGCTTTCACCCCAGTTCAAGGAAAGAGCTCTTTAATGCCCTAGAAGGCTACACAAGGCCCCTCTCTGCATTGTGCGTCAACATCACAGATCAACTGAGGCGCCGAGTCCTTTGATTTAATGTCTTGGAAGTGATGGCCAGGTTCTTGACTAGAATCTACCACTTCAGTATTGTGCTTTTCCTATTCTCTAAACCCTCATTTGCAGAACAGGGGTTTACGAGCATTAGGATTATTTGAGTCTGGGGCGAAGACTAGAGGGTTATTTCTGTTTCTTTTGGTGTTTGGCATTCGTTGGGCTTTTCAGAAGTGCCCGTGTGCCAGAGACATTTGGAATGGCAGGAGTCTGAGGTGATGAGGAGAAGGCAAGATAGTGTATCCTAGTCTTCAGAGTCCTTCCATGCACTTACCAAGGAATTGGTGACATCTACACTAGTGTCAGTTGAGCACTTACTATCAAAACAGCTGTCCACTGAAATGGAGTTATTTTGCTAGTATATTGTATTATATATGCAATCTATTAGAAAAATATTATATATAAGCATTACATGCTTATTATTTAATTTTCTACAGACATTACTCACCTTTCCCGTGCTTCCTGGGATAGATTCGTCATGGAATCTTCTGAAGAAAAATCAGAACACATGTAATGAGCACTATTAAAAAAAGACATCCAGATTTTATACTAACTGTCAGAAACCACTGTTAAAGAAAAAGCAGTAAGAGAAGTGTGTTTTCGGCTGTAGCACATAGGTATGAGGTTTGGGGCTAGTGAATTTACAGGAACAAGTTTAAAGCTGGCTTACTAGTCTATATCCCAGATGAATAAAACCCCTGCGCACCTTTGCAGATTTCATCCTGATGGTGAGATGCATCTTCAGGAGACATGTTCAAAGCTGTATCTTTCATTGTATGTTCAAAGCTAGATATCTGCTTTTCCTCTTCATTAGCGGCAACACTATCATCTACTGCAGTCCCTTGCTCTTTGAAAGTGGCTTTATCTTGTTCTTGATCAGTGACAGATTCTGGTGCTTGCGCAGGGTGGTATCCTGTCTTCTCTTTGAAAGGACCTGTTCCTTCACGTGCAATTAACTCCTCTTTCACCTGCATGGGCTCAGTTAAACTTGCTGCTTCTGAACAGCTCTTCACGTCCTGAGGTGAATCGGTGCCATCTTGAAGCTCACCATGTAGAGTCTTCAATTTTTTTCTTGAGGGTCCTTCATCACTGACAACAGGTCTTATGGCTTTTCCAGGCTCTCTCTCCTCCCTCGAAGACTCCAACTCTTTCTCTGGCCCTGGTTGCTGAGAGGCCTGCAGCAAATCAAAGTGAGTGATGGAGTCTTCATCCTGCAGATCAGCACCACCACTTTTGTTTTTCAGACACACTGAATGCAAGAGCCAGTGCGTGGCAAACGTCATTGCAACCAGTCGGATGGTGTTCCCTCCCACTTCTAACACCTCTTCTAGCTTGAGGAGGTCCTGAAAAAGAAACAGGTTTAATCTTTACATGGGGAATACCAGTATAAAGAAACATTCAAAACCTCACGGAATTCCCATTATTGCAACCCATAGCTAGAGTGCCTTGCCAAACGCTGTCCCTTGTCAGGTTTCCTGTCCTACAGACTTAAAAGGATAGTCTCCAAGCTTAAACTGCTCTGAAACTACAGCGGAGATACTGAAATATTCCTGTGCACTTTAGAGACTGAGCATGGTGCCTCCGTGAAGGCTGCAGTCACTCAGTCTAGACAGTGCTTGGTCCTGCCACGAGGGCAGGGGACTGGACTCGATGACCTCTCGAAGTCCCTTCCAGTTCTCTGATTCTCTGATTCAATCCAACTTTTTCATTTACTGACACCATATTTTCTGATCTTCAGGGAGACAGACACTGAAGACGCACTAGATGAGATTACCACTGGCTGAAGCCTGGGAACTTCACTACTATGTGTAATCACTTCAAGGGAGCAATTCTGTTCATGCTTGTATCATGTAGATTAGATTCCCTTCCTATTCAAAAAGAATGCTATGGAGTTCAGATATATACTGGTGACGGAGACAGAAACCAACCTGAATATACTGCTGTAAACTCCTGGTGCGCTCAGTGTCAGCTTCTTCATAGCAGTGGAATTGTTTACCCAGCTCTGTCTTGTCAATCCCGAAGTAGGAGGATGCTTCAATGGCATTACGAATCTCCAGGGCCGCAGACACATCTTTAGCATTATACCTGTAATACTCCGAACACCGGAGGAGAAACTGATCTGCGTCATATGTGGCTTCCTGGACTTTGAGCAGCCTGGTAAAAGCGTTAGGAAGGCAGGAGATTCCGACAGCCAGGTCATCAATTACGGAAGGAACTGCAAAGTAAAGCAGAACGAGTGTCCTAGCCTTGGTGAAAACAGGATCTTCTTGTACTATTGTTACCATACATTGGACGACAGAAAGATCAAAAATCTTTCCAGGCTCCTCTGCCAGGAAATCTTTTCTTAAGAGTCATCAGTTAAAAGTATAGCTCAATGTTTCACATTCACCCCTGCAAATTTCCTTTTTCTATGTGCCCCCCACCCTTGTGTGTGAAATGGACTGCAGAAAAGCAACCAACTTTGATGGCTTACAAAGGCTCTAACCCCGGGCAAATATGAAATAATAGTGAAGGAGAGATTGGACTCTTGCCGTGTCTGTCTCTAGCTCTGGGTTGCTTAGGGAATCGTGTAAACGAACAGATTTAAAGTGTTCTGGTATGGTTTTGGATTGCAGCTGGAGAGCCTAGGGCAAAATGGCAGATTCTGGAGAAGTGACTCCTTTGATAGGAATGAGTGAAAAAGGCCAATGCAAAGTAGAAAATTACTGGCCAAGTCTGATAAAGAATATGGAATGGAAGATCACACAACCACACAGACACCAGAAAAACTGGGCAGGGTGAGTAAGCTTTTCCAAGTGGGTTTTGTCTTTATAAAAGGCTCTTTATCAGTCAGCTCCAACTACACACAGTTTTCAAGTGACTTTTCTGGTCCAGGAAGCTTGGGGAGGTGGTAGCGAGGGAGGGAGATCTGACACCATTCCTAACTGATTCTTCGATCCCACCTTCATTATTCTGGTATTAATAGATAGCCTGTACACTTTGCCTTATGGGGCACTATGATGCAACACTGCTCTCCGATGCCCAAAGTCAGGTGGCCAAGGGGAACAGTTAGGTGCTGCAACGAGCTGGCAAGCTGACTAAGCCATACAGGGGATGTGTGGTAACTACATCAGGGACCAAGCTTTTCGGACAGATGCGACAGATGTGAATGGCATCGGCAGGGACAGCAGCAGACCTTCCATTACTAACCACAGAGTCCTTTCTGGATACCTCTGTCCTGAGCAAAGACCACCCCCACTCTTGAGGTTAAGGCACTGGACCAGCTCTGGTAGAGCTGGGAACTGAATCCACATCCTCCAATGCCCTGTGCAATCTAGGGGAAAACTGCCCTCTCTGCCCCAGTTCCCTGGTGGTAAAATGGAGACAGACACAGGTTCCCCTCTCCCACTTGTGGTCTGCCTTCCCTATTCAGCTTGTCTCCTGTTCTGGGCTTGCACAGCACTGGGCACAATGAGCTTGGCTGCAGCTTTGGGAACACTAAACTATAAGATAAGTCTCAGTAATTTGAGTTCTGAATATTATTCTTCAACATTTCTATTGCAACCGTGTCTAAAGGCCGCAGCCAGAGCAGGCACTGTTGTGTTAGGCACTGTCTAAAACACTGTTGGGGAATCTCAGGCCTGGGGGCCGCATGTATCCCCCGGCTTGCCTGGATCCAGCCTGAAGCTCAGGGATCCCCAACCTTGGGGAGCTCGTGCTGGTGCTCCAGTCCCCTGCCACCCACCCACAGGGCTGGAGCATATAACATCTACTAGCCTGGCCCCCCAGACTCTGGTGTGGGAGGGGAATGCAAGGAGTGTCTTTTTCCTTCTCAGTCAGGGGCTTCTCACGTGTGTGTGGCCCCCAACCGATTTTTCTGTGGGTCAGCTGCCCCGACCCAAAAAAGGTTCCCTGCCCCTGGTCTAAAATATAAAGTAAGTGAGAGACTCTGCCCCAAAGAGGCTTTCTTCTAACAGAAGAGGAAACTCAGAGGTAGCACAAAAGAGGTTTACAATTATGAAATAGACAGACAGACTGCTCCCCAGTGAAAGGCTCACCGAGTAGCAAGCATATTTGGTACTTGGATTAATGATCGCACATGAAGTGGATACACACAAGGAAGTAGGGATGTAAACGACTAGTCGACTCTGACTACCAGATAACCCTAGGCTTATCAGGTAGTTGAGTCACTACTCAACTAGTCGTTTCACCCCCTCACCTCCCTTGTTGCCTCTGGATCAGAAACACCAAGGTGGGGGAGCAGGAGCCGGTGCTGGGGGAAGCCAGCTTAAAAGCCTGTTCTCCCCCGCCCCAGCTCCATCTCTGGGGGGCGGAGGGGGTGAGGCAGAGGAAATGGCACAAGCAGTGACCAAAGCAGTCCCTGCTCTCACTGTTCCAGATGCTGCGCCTCTCCCATTGAAATGTACAATAGCTACCCGGCTCTTGTACATTTCAAAGGAAGAGGCCCTCTCCCATTGAAATGTACAATAGCCACCCGGCTCTTGTACATTTCAAAGGAAGAGGCTCATGCGATTGGGGTCTGAAGCAGTCCCTGTTCGTGCAGGCTCCCAACGGCTGCGCCTCTCGCACAGGTTCCCCACTGTGCCTCTTCCTTTGAAATGTACAACAGCAGCAGCAGTTGGGGCCCTGCATGAGCAGGGACTGCTTCTGTCCCCATTCACGCAGGTTCCACGCTACACCTCTTTCTCTGAAATGTACAGGAGCCATGGGCAGCTCTCGTATGTTTCAAAGAGAGAGGCACAGTTGTTGGAGGAGAGCTTTGGTCCCCACTGCACCTCTTCCTTTGAAATGTACAAGAGCCGCTGGCAGCTCTTGTACATTTCAAAGGCAGAGAAGCAGCGGGATAGCAAGTGCCCCCTTATTGACTAATTGAATCAAAATTTAACATCCCTACGAGGAAGCTGATCAAAGTCAGGTGCATAATAAAACCACAATATTTGGTAAGTATAAAAGGAGATGACAATTGTGTATTAAAACATTGCCTCCGCTCCCCTGAGTTTGCAAGCACAGAGTGACACCCATTCCAATTGGCTTTTCTTGTTTACACACATACAGAAACTAACCTTGGGAACTGAGCCTTCCTGGCATTGGGACACATCTCAGCTTGAGTTTCACTTGGCAAGAATTGACCACAATATTGTCGTTGGGGTTCAAATTGCGTGTGCTGACGATTCCTGGTGCGCAATATCCTCTCATGAGTAAGTAATTGGTATGAGATGCTTGACGAGCTTTTACCTCTATTTTCCGTTTGTTTCCAGAGTTCTCATCCAAGTCATCATCGTCGTCATCGTCATCCTCAAGACCATCTTTTCCCAAACTGCAGGAGAAGGGCTGTTAATCTTTTGCCACTTTCTTCCAAAACCAGAGACTTTTTTCCCCCAATAGTTATTTAATTTCAACTAAATCAATTCAAAATATTGATCATGATGAACACACAACACCACAGTAATGCAACATTCCAGCTGTGGGATTTTAACCCCAATCAAGACATTCACAAATCAGGTTGCTGATCTAGTCAAATATATGTATTGCAATAAGCTCTTTCATTATATAACACCAAGAAAGATCACATTCTGCTCCACACTCCAGTATGTTAGTCATTCCGCAAGAAGGCTTGGAAGAGAGAACTCCCTTTTCTGTGAGTGTTTAATCTGGAAGCAGCTAAATGCATCAGTTCCAACTACTGAACACATCAGCTACATAATGGAGCGCTGCGAGGCCACCCTCTGGATCTGGATCTGATTTTGTGTCCATCACTCCCTTAGTTGCTTTACTGTCAATTTTTATATATATTCATAAAAATATACAATTATATTTTTGCATCCCATATTCAGGACATATAATTATATAGATGTACACTGTATACTACTATTTTAATTAGAAACACTTAATGGCATATCTCGCCTTTCCACAAATGGCCTGGGCGTCTCATAACAATGGAGTGACCAAATAGGCATTATTTCTTAGGTGTCCAATCATTTGGTACCACAGCAAGTGCACCGGGTAAATATCAGGCAGACAATTTTTTTTTCCATACATTACATCAACATCCAGCAGAGTTGAAACCCACATAGGAAAAGTAACAAAAAAACACCAATATTTCCTTGAGAGTGTCAGGCTGGTACAATGGTGAGGAGTATGTGCAACTGGCACAGCGAGGCTATTTTGCCCTGTTCATCTCTGAACACAGTGATCAAGTCTATCTTAAGCACTGTGTTCCCTCAGGATAACGTGGACATTAACACACACCACTGGTCAGATGAAAGACTCACAAGTGCTGTTAAATCTTTGCGATGATCCCTGAAAACATCCAACAGTGCCACTCCAAAGCACATGCTGAAATGCAGAGCAGAATGTTCCCATATCTGTTGTCAATTTCATTTGGCACGTTATACACATCCCTTATTTGGATCAGAGCATCAGTGTTTACCTTTTGATGACTTCATTCTCCACCATCGTGCTGTCTACCACAACTATTTGCTCAGGGATCCTTACATCCACTGAAATAAGACCCAGGGAGAACAGGGAAAGAACTGCGATACATTGACCTCCTGGGCCGTCCATTGGAAAAGCTAGCATGCCTGATGAATCTGTGGCTTCTTGATCCTTGAATGAAAAGTTATCTGGCTCATCTGATTTTCCAGCTTCCTTGAGCTTCTCTAGGAATTGGAAGGATTCGGTACAAATTGTACTGGGAAACCGCCATATGAAGACTCTGGACACAAAAACAACCGAATGACGACATACAGGGTGGAAATTCCCACAGAGCAGCAGCAAAAACCACCAAATGGAATGCAACAGTCTATGTTCCAGTGTGTAGCAAAGCATCCCAGTGCAAAGTAAACCCTCCATTGGCCTGAAAGCTCTCACCCTCCCCTTCCTCAATGCAGTTTCTCCAAGCCTGGAGGCAAACAGGCTTGGTTCCATACAGTTCTCTGCTCTTCCGCTGCCATTGCAGCTATTCTAAACCTAAGCCTGGAGACGAACTAACGGTGCACATTTAAAACACCTTTACACCCTCAGCTACTGCTGCGTGCTCATTGGCGATAACAGAGGTTCTGGTCCCTAGCTTCTAGTTCCTCATTGTTTCTAGTTCCTCTTTAAGTAACAGAGTTATATATTTTATCCTCTATGCAAACCATGTTTGGGTACATTACTGCGTTAGGTCTGTACAGGACAGTGGACACTCACCTGTAGTAGCTTTGAGATAGTTGATATGACATAGGCACAAAGGGCAATGCCCGGCTTTTCTTTGGACCTAGGGTATGATTAACCCGACGGCGATTGACCAAACTTCTCTTCTGACATTCTAAAAAAGCCTTCACAAGAACGTCATCCCTGTACTCACGGTACAGTCGAAAAGTCTGCAACACATAGTTTAAGAATCAGATTAACAGTAGGGATACATTAAAAAAATCCACATATTGTAGCCCAAACCAGAAACTCTCCAGCTCTGTAGAGCAATGTTACATCCAAATCAGGATAGTGACTCAAGGTATGATAGACAAAAAGCAAATTCATCCTTGTCTGTCCAGAAGCTATTGTGAGGGAGGCACTATAAATAGGACAGCCAACACTGTGATACTGGAGTAAGCTTCATGGGTAATCTCAGCAACTGGGCTCAAATTCCAAGCATCGACTTTCTATGTAGTGTTTTTTTCCCCAGAGATTTAGTCGCTACCACATAAAATATTTTTTGTATGAGATATGCTATATATGAAGAAATTTACACTCAAATGTAACAATTTCACTTGTTTGGTCGAGAAGCCAAACAAATTTCATTTAATTTAGAAGGCAGCTTCCTGGGAAGAACCAGGAAACCATTTATTTGAAATCAATAGTCCGTATAAGCAAGTCTATAGGAGTTTATAAATTGTCAGTTACATTTTGAGCATGAAACCACAAATCAGAAATTACAGTTGAACGTAGGTGTAACAATATGGCTTTCCTGTAGCTATGCTGGAAGGCCTGTGGTAGGCCTGAACCAAAGCCTCCTTCTGCAGCCAGACTGAAGAGCAGCAGCCATTAGTTGTAAGGCCTAGAGTCACATACTCACAGTTCCATCTAAATTGTATTAAAAAAGTGTCACACCAAGAGAAGGGGGAAGAGCTGACTGGAAGACTCACCTCCAAGACACAGCCTAAGACCAGAGAGACTGATATTGCCTAGCCAACAGGGGAAGTCTGCCTGCACCCAGATTGGTGAGTGTGACACTGTGTGCTTAGCATGTGTATTCTGCTTGTTTGGGAATTGTCAATAAATAGAGGATAAAGATATTACTGTGTGAGGCTCTTTCAGTGGCTAAAGATTCTGCAAAACCTGCAGAAAGATGTGCCCTGAGCCCTAGGAACTGGGTAAATGTGTCTGTGTAAATTAACAGGATTGTACCTGGAGCCCTAGGAACTGGGTAAAGGTGTGTGTCCCTACAGAGTAGAAGGGATAGAGAAATTTGTGCGGATAACATAGGTTAATGACATACATACACATTTATATTTGCATTTACAGGGTTTCCTAGGAACCAAAAATCAGTAAATTCCAGTGACGCAAACCAAATTCTATAGAATTTTGAAAACAGAGTGCCTGTTGGATATTTCAAAGGTAAGTATTGAGATCAGCTGCTGTTATTATTGCATATTTAATATTCTAGATCTGCTTTTTTCATTAAAAAGAACACAGCACTTTGAATCCACTTCAAATCTGTGCATAATTATCTGTGTGGAAGTATTCCACGACAGACACAATCCAACATAGTAACTTTGGGAACCTCATTGTATTAAATCTATGACAGGTTTAAGTATGGTAAACTGTTTTAGGTATGACCAACCTGATAACTTTCTTTGATAGGATAACAAGCCTTGTGGATAAGGGGGAAGCAGTAGATGTGGTATAGCTAGACTTTAGTAAAGCATTTGATAGTCTCTCATGATCTTATCAACAAAGTAGGAACATTTCTTATCAATAAACTAATTGATGGGTGGGTGCATAACTGGTTGGATAACTGGTCTCAAAGAGTAGTTATCAATGGTTCACAGTCAAGCTGGAAGGGCATAACAAGTGGGGTTCCACTGGGACCAATTTTGGGAGTGGTTCTATTCAATATCTTCATCAATTATTTAGATGGCATAGGGTGCAGGCTTATAAAGTATGCAGATAATACCAATCTGGGAGGGGTTGCTTTGGAGGATAGGGTCATAATTCAAAATGATCTGGACAAAACGGAGAAATGGTCTGAGATAATTAGGATGAAGTTCAATAAGGACAAATGCAAAGTTTTCCGCTTAGGGAGGAACAATAAGTTTCACACATACAGAAGGGGAAAGAATACTGCAGAAAGGGATTTAGGGATCACAGAAGACCACAACCTAAATATGAGTCATATTACATTATGATATATAATATTTATATATATCATAGAACTGGAAAGGACCTTGAGAGGTCATCGAGTCCAGTCCCCTGCCTTCACCGCAGGACCAAGTACCATCCTTGACAGATTTGCCCCAGATCCCTAAATGGCCCCCTCAAGGGCTGAACTCACAATCCTATGTTTAGCAGGCCAATGCTCAAACCACAGAGCTATCCTTCCAACGACAAGGCCTTGATAATGTCCATGGACTTTAGAGGGGAACGGAGGGAGGGATGCAGATGCCCGGCTCTTTATGCCCTTATATGGGAACAGTATATGCGTGTGGCCCCAGTGGACGCTGCTAGTCAAAAAGAATTGGTCTTGTGTGCATGAGGCGCACTTACAGCAGGATCCACAATGACAAACTTGAAGAACTTTCCAGTTATAACACAACACGTTGCAGAAAATGTGAGTAACCCATAAAACATACAGTACCTGAAATGACTGGCAGGACTTCATTTGATTATCTGAAAGTGCCAACGTGCTCTGAATTAGGTTCTGGAGTACCAGGAAGTGAATATCATAAATACTGAAAGAAAACAGTTACATTAGGTTATACAAGGCCTTCTGAGCATGAAACACCAAATTGCTAAATTAATGCAGTAATATTTAAATGGGGTGTTTTCCCTCCAACGTACGCATGTCACACACACACACACACACACACACACACACACACACACACACACACACACTTTTGTTAGCAACAATGTTGCATCAGAATTCTTAACGAAATGGAGACCTTTCCCGACGTGTTACATTATGGTTTTCTTCCCCCAAGAACTTTATACCAGCCTAGGATACTAGGACCCTAAGTGCTCTCATGTCAGCAGATAGAGATAGAGCCCCTAGGGTATTGGATGACATCATGCCCTCACACAGAAGGAAGGGTCTCCCATCCTTCATTTGGGAGCTTCAGGAGCCACAAGCAAACAGACTGACACATACTTTAATGAACATAACTCTTCAGTGAGCGTTTAAAATATCTCTCAGTAAGCACTGGGTACCAACATCCCCAGAGGGTCTGCATTATTATAGCTCTTGAAGACGAATTAGCAGATAGGGAAGTTTTCTCTCTCTCTCTCTCTCTTCAGTACGTGTTCAGAAGCGTGAGATCTTCCAATGAAGTTTACAGCCTAACAATACAGGTGGAATTAGTGCCTGAAATACCCGTCTGCCAAAGGCCACAGCTGCAGAAACAGGCACTATATTGCTTTACAAACAAGACAGACTGTAATACTATTTCTGACTCCATTCCTTAGACTAGGTGGGGGAGAATAATTTGGGGGCCAGACCCTGGAGTAATCAGATAAATTTAAGAAACAGAGAGAGTAAGATGCCTATCCAGAAACAGCTTTATGGGAATTAAGTGGGCCTGGCTATGTAACCATATCCTGAACAGCTTATGCCATCGTGGAAGCATAAGCTAGTAAAGCATGACACCTGTGCTCCGTGATCTGTGCTGACTGCTCACTGATTTCTGGATAGAATTTAAGTTGTTGGTTTTGATCAAAGCAGCCCTAAATGGCCCAGAACCCTACTTAGTTGATAAGTTGCATCTCTCCTCATGGCACGCTGCTGCAGCTATAATCAGTGGTACTTTAATTGGATTTCTATAGATTTTAAACAGAGAGGGAGCTGATGGTAGACTGATCTCTGTGTAAGGCCCCTCAGCTTTGGAACCACCTTGAACCTGGACTGACTCGCAGGGCATGCTGTAAATTCATCTGTTTAGTAAAGCTTTTGGAGATCAAGCTGTTGATGGGGAGTTTTGTAAAGTCTTTGTTGGCTGTTAGTTTTAGAATCCTCTCTGTGTAGACTATGGCTATACCTATAGCCTTAACACAGGCAACTGTTAGTATTTCCTCCATCTTTGCCAAGTAGCCAATGAGATGACAAATCCATCTCACTTTCACTGAGAGCCCACAATAATCCAGCTCTTATGGGACCGGTCTCTAACTCCCACTCACGTGTTGAGAGCATCCTGTTTGATGCTTTGATTTGTGTCCTCTCCAATGGCCAAAACTCTGAACCTGGTTAAGAGTGTAAAAAGAAAACAGTTAATACACAAAGTAGCATGCCCTGTATCACGTACAGAGCCCCTGCGTTCATATTAACCCTTGACATGTTGAGGTGATATGTTAATCTTGACACACAACCTGCTGAAACAATGTTGGGAACCACCTATCCTGGCAAACTTCAGCGGAGAGGCCAAGCCCTGAAAGAGCCATGGAGATGAATTCCCCTATCTCCAAGAAGCTGCTTGTCCACGTCCAGACTGAAGCACATTGGAAGGAAGCAGTATAGAGCCCCTGTCTATGCTGTGGATACAAAATACCTGTCTATATAGAGTTGGTGTCTGGGGAAGAGAAAGAAGTTTGTATTAAGGAAAGCATCTGCTCCTATCACCTGATATGCAGGCATAGAAGGAACTTAAATGTTACTGGATACTAGAACTTCCATTTCCTAGTCCCAGTGTTTTCTGCAGACGTGCAGCTCCTCTCAAAGTCAGGGAAGTTACTGAGGTGACTAACTTCAGGGCACTGAGAGGATAAGGCCAAATTGTCATGCTTAGCTACCTAACTTCCCCATTTGTAGACAGGTACACTGATACTTATCCTTCTTGTAAAGTGCTTTGCAATCTATGAGTGAAACGTGCCACATAAATGGTAAGTGTAACTATTACAGAAACTAGGGATGTAATATATCCAGTCTTTTAGGAATTAACATTAATACATCATTTTTATTATTTAACGGAGATACCAACTACAAATCCCAGTGTAAAATCATGCCACTTAATTTGGGCAAGACAGTGAGTGGCTTGTGACGGTTATCTATTATAGACACACAGGGCTCATCTAAGTACTCAAAATGTTTTCTCTAATAGCAAAGTTAAAAGTATTAATCTAAAATGCAAATTAACAAAACAATAACATTTAAAATCCGATGAACTAATGAGTAATTTAAAATGTAAAATTGGTACATCAGAAGTGTACATTAATAAGCAACTTTTCTTTGAAAATCGATCTGAACATTTTTGATATCATGATTTCAAGCGCCATCAAAAAGTGTGAAATTCTTGACAACAGACTCTGGTGCTGATCTCTCCTTTGCATATGGCATAAACAAATCTAAAGGAAAATACCTGCAATACAGCTCCTGCAGTGAATCTGGAATTTCAAGTTTGGGATTCCCTAGGGTTGAGCTGAATTTCTCTTTAAGTCTCTCCACAAACTCTTTAAACTCTTTTGCACACACCTTTCAAAACAAGAGATGAACTATTAAACACTTAACAAATGTTTCCTATGGCGCAAAGAGGCAGTAGGACCTTCCTATTTCACATTCACAACTGCAAGACCCACTGCAAACAGCAAGAATTAACAAGTAGGGGAAGTAGCACATTAAGGGTGTGTCTACACTGCACCATAGGCCAAAATACGATATGCAATTTGAGCTACGCAAATTACGTAGCTTAGTTTGAATCCATTTTGAAACATCTTATTTTGTAATTTGGCATTCTCGTTAAAAAAAAGAAAATCAGGTCTGGTTTCTAAATGCTTTACTAGTACACTGCACGGGATGGCTGGTGCAAACATCTCATTGGGAACAGTCCACTTGGTTCCAGAGAAAGAAACACTGACACAGCAAGACAAACACAAGAACAGAAATAGGAGAAAGAGGGAAACAGTAAGAGTTGGAAGGGAAACAGTAAGAGTTGGAGACAAAGGTGAACACAACTGGGATTAGACAAAACCTCCTCTATGTCATAAAAGTTGACATTAGAAATGAAATGCAGGAAGATACCCTAGCTCACAGTCTGCTCAAAAAGCAAGTTCTCTCACTCCTTAACTTCCACTTTGTTTTTTCTTTCCTGTGCTCTCTCTGAACACAGCAAGGGAGGAGGTACAAGAGCAAGAAAGGTGGTGCTCTCTTGTGAAGACTGTGTACTCCAGTGGCACAGTCAGGTGGGCGGGCTTTTAGGCAGAGTTACAGTGCTGTTTAATGAGCCCCACTTGGCAGGACAAGCATGAGAAAGCCCACTCCCATTCCCTTCAGCACGCAAGACACAGGCAGCTCACCACCAGGACCAGCCCAGTAGCAGGGCATGTTAGTTACTTTAGCTGCTGGCTGTCCAATTTCAATTAGCAAAGTGAGCCTTTTGGTGACGTCAGCCCAGGCTGAGTCGTGGGGATGACACGGTCAGTGTCTCATTTATCCCTACGGAGGAAAGGGAGGTGCTGGGACGGAGAGAAAAAGGAGATTTTTGACTAAGTAAATACTACAGGCAGCAGGTGCAGAATGCTTCACCAGAGACACCTCCAGTTCAGCTGCTGTGCTTTGCAGTCTGCTCCAAAACTTGTCAAGGTCCCGGACCAACCCTGGGAATAGCGCTCATGTCAACTAGATTACAGAGAAGTTCAGCTGCCTCTGCAATGCTCCTGAAGGTCTCAGCCAGGCTGAAGGGCCAAGATGGCACTTCCTTGTGTAACGTGAGGGAGCTAGTGGCTGAATTTCACAGAGAAATGTTGTGTGCCTGCAAGCTCCTGGGCGTGGCCCTTAGTGCTACAGAGGTGGCCAGGTTGCCCTTTTGTTCATACAGTGAACTTACATCCAGCACCGTATCCATCCTACTCTCATCCCAGCTCTCAGTATCTCCCCACTGCTCTCTGAGCATCAGAACGTGGTCACCACTGCCAGCATTGTAAAGCACATTGTTTCATGCTCCTTGTGTGCTTACCACCACCCCAGGCCTCCTTCCAGGATTTCCTGCTGTCAGCTTCCAGCTACACCTTGAACCTCCCTAATCTGGGCGTCCCCGGTCAAGCAACACGCCTGGTCCAGCATCATCCGAGGCTGGAGCACCCACTGGGGAAAAAACGGTGTTGGGGCTAGGAGTGTGGAACCAGAGAAGAGCAGAATCCGGTGTGTCCGGTGCCCTGGGGGAGGACGGCTGGCAGAGCAGAGGGGAGCCCCAGCCTGAAGGGTCAGCATTGATCTCCCCTAGGCCAGCAAATCCCTGGTTCAGGACCAGTCAAGCCTAAGGACTAGTTGACTGACTGACTATCAGATAAGCAAAAGCTTACTGGATAGTCGACTAGTCCCTTGTCTAGTCGCTTCCCCACCCTCCATCAAAGGCAGTAAGGTGGAAGGTGGGAGCAGGAGCCAGTGCTGGGGGGAGCCTGCTAAAAGCCAGCTCTTAATACATTTAAAAATCAGAAGTGCAGCAGAGGGGACCTGACACGAGCCAGGCCAGCTGATTCCTGGCTCACACTAGGTCCCCCTGCTGCACTCCAGCCTTCTTACATTTAAGGCTGGTGCACAGTGGGGGGACCAGGCACAAGCTGGGAATCAACTGTTTCAGCTCACGCAAGGTGCCCCCCATTGCGCTTCAGCCTTTTAAATATATTAAGAGCCTGCCAGCTATTAATACATTTAAAAGGCAGCGGGATTAGCTCCCGGGGCCGAGAGCTAACCCCACTGCGGCTTCCCTGCTTATCGATTAACCAACTAGTCGATGGAACATCCATCACCTAGTCAATTAGTTGATGAAACTAAATTGAACATCCCTAGTCAAACCCCGGGGGTGCTGGACCAGGGAGCTTCAACCTGTAGTTTCCTGGACACCTGATCTTGTCTCATGCCAAACCATGTGGCCTCTCTCCTGACTTGTAGCCAGATTATTCAGTCGGTCAGTATATCAGGAGATGCAGGAGGCATCAGAAAAACAAGAGAAAGAAAGAGGGAGCCAGGACAGACTTGTGGAGAGCTGATTCCAACCAAGCCTACGTTCTAGCTTTAAGAAAAGATTCCTCCTCTTGACCTGAAACTTCTAAAGGTTGTAGAATGAGGTCAACAGGTAGCAGCTGGTTGTAGCTAAGATTTAAAATAGCCTGCCCACTTGCAAAGCACAGCAGCTCAGCTTGGTGTGGTGGGCCATTAAGAAAAAAAAAATCAAAAAGGCAATTGTTGTTTTAGCTGTGTTCACCTCCCACTCTGTACTGTAGGGTTCCACTGAGAGCTAATCCTTTGATTAACAAAACGGAATGGCTAGATAACAGTAGGTTGGGAATTTTCCAACAAAACATTTTTTCTAATCTATCAGCAAATGCCAAACTAAAAAAGGCTGGTTTCAACATCTCTCTCGTAATCCGAAACCAATTTTCAAAAAGCGTCTAACTAGTCAAAAAGTCCCATTTTGATATTTTCAAAACAAAAACTTTCATTTCTTGCTTCACATGGACTTCATATTATAAATTAATATTTTTAAACAAAAAAGTAACAAGGCTGAAATCATAACAAAAATGCTTTCATAGTCCATACCATTAATTTTGAGTATCAATTTGTAAAAGGAAAAAAGATGTCTGAAAGTAACTTTTCGTCTCAATTTGGGAAAAATTTCAAAATTGTGAAAATCATCATGGATGGGAAACCCGTTTCCTGCCCAGCTCTATACCACCAGTAACAAGGAGACTGGTGGGGAAGATTTGGGGACAGCTGACTCCAAATGGATGAGTTGTGGAAGCATAAATTGGCCTCAGAAAAACTAACTTTGAGGTAGGGATGTTAAAAAGCATGTCAGAGTAACTGTAGCCGCTGCAAATCTCAGTGGTTCAAGTTATACGTCCTGTGGGCTCTGCAGTATAAAATTCAGCCTGGCTCCTGGGGAAGGAGGCTTCACTGAAGCAACAAAGTCACCTTCTCAGGAACGGAGCCAGGAGCCTGGGGAGGTGGCTTTGCCTCCCTAGGAGTGGAGCCAGCAGCTCTTGCCTGCTGGGCTCCTAGGGAAGTGGCTTCACTGCACTGCTGCAGTAAAGCTGCCTCCCCAGGAGGCTGAGTGTAACTGACACCATTAACCATCTGCTTATCGGTTAAATGGTTAGTCGTGTACATGCCAACATCCCTACTTTGAGGATAGCTTTGTGGTACAGACTATATACTAGGCATCCAAGGGCTAACGTAGGCTCCTGTGCTGCACAAAACTGCTGCTTTCTTGTTATTTGGTCGGTTAACTATGTCTGTCTAACTTCCAGAAAAGCACTGATGTGGAGCATGAGTCGTTCTTAGGCAGCTGCCAGCACAAAGGGAAGAGACAAGAGGTGAATCATAGGAATCCAAACACAGTTCCATCAAAGTGTAATGTTAACCACTTTGTCTCCTTTTAGAATCTCTCTCCTCCCACCTGTGGGTCTTGGTAGTTACTTTCCCTCTTCATGAAATCCTCAATAAGACCTTTATCTTGGTACACTTCAGCAAGGCAAACTCTGCAACAAAAAAGGGCAAAAACGTTCACAATTCAGTGTTCACAATTCTGGCTGCTCCATGGACTCCATTGCCCCACCGTCCTCGCTGGCTGGCTTCACTCCCAACCACCAGCAACCTCTGCCGCTAGGGCTCTCTGGTCCGGCAACAATCATTGTCCTACTGGACCACAGACGTTGCTGGACCAGAGTCCTGGACCACAGAGGTTCAACCTCTACTTTCTATTTCAGTGTTTCTCAAAGTGGATCGCAGGCCCGCTTCGTGAAATCCTCTAGCGGGTCTGTGGTGCTTTGTTTACCTAAAGGGTCCATAGCCATGGAGCCTCATGGCTCCCATTTTCTCTGGTTTGCTGTTTCCAGCTACAGGGAGCTGCGGGAAGCTAACATATCAAAGTGAGTTCACATGGTACCACATGATGGAATTTGGTTTACTCTTTACAAAAATCTACAAAATCACACACAAAACCACTACAGAGTAACGGAACATTAAGGCTACAAAGTCAAGCACACAAAAGTTAAGAATTGACGAAATTAAGATTGCCTAGATCGCCTTAATTTGGCCCCCTGAGCATTCATGATATTATGCAATTAGATTTTATTATTTCCCACAGGGTCCCTGCCTCATTCATAGGCTCGAAGTTGTTTTAGGGATGAATCAAGCTGGATGGGCAACCTTAACTCTAGCATTTTAAACGCTTGGCTTTGCAACCTAAATATTGTCATTTTGTAAATTAAATTAATGGAGATTGCCTATCTCCTAGAACTGGAAGGGACCTTGAAAGGTCATCGAATCCAGTCCCCTGCCTTCACAGCAGGACCAAGTACCATTCTTGTGTGTGCAGTACATATGATAGACCCTCCCACCCGCCATTGAAAAAACAGATGCCAGGAAAGCCTGTAGTTTCTAAAGTAAAAGTGTCCTAGAACATGAGCTACGCTCTAGTACCTTTAATGAGGTAGGGTAAGTCGATGGAGCTCAGAAATGATATAGCAGGACCAAAAATCCTTGCATTCCTATCTTTGACTCCACTCCGTGTCATGCATCTGCCCCTCTCTCAGGATGTCACAGATCACTTAACATTCAGGACTAACTTGTAGAGATGCAGGAAATGGGACACTGGATATTTGCATTAACATGATGGAGGGAGACAAAGTAAAGCAGGAATCCAAGTGTGGAGGAATTAAATCCTTAACGTCATTTCATAAGAATTTAGAATGATAAATGAAAAAAAAAATCACTTACTTATAATTAAGATAAGTTTGCGGGTTTTTGACAATGTAGCGAGCTCTTCGGCCAACAGAAAGAGAAGTTTTATCTAAAGATTCTTCAAAGCTGGCATGCATGATATCTCGGACAACCTGCCATGGAACAAACGGTCCTTTCACCTGGATTAATACAAAAGGAAAGTCAAAATGCAGCTTACTTTGACCTGCAGGTATGCAAGTGATGGCTGATGCTAACAACTGCCACTAGAAAAAAAGTAGCATTTCTTTCCTGGATGCCCCGCCGCACACATTTATAGCTGTCCCAAGACATTTATCTTTGCTGCTGGAATTTTCCATGTTTAGTCTGTTCCTAAAAATGAAAACCGGTTTGGAAATGTTGAGCACAATCCCATTAGCCATTTGTGGGATATGGAAAAGTACAATAGTTTACTTTTCCCCTCTTAAAGTATAGCCTGAGACTTTAAAAATACCATAAGAGGGGCAGGTAGCACTTCCTACTACGATTACTCCACACTTCCCTGATAAAACTCTGGTTTCAGCTGCTTATAGTTTTTCCACTTTGCTTCAGCTGAAATTTTCATTGCTGGGGGTTTGCCTCTGGAGGGAAATTTCAGCCAAAATCCTTTAGCTGTTTCTGGGAATGAGCCTAGAGAAAAACTGGCTGTTTTGCCCATGTTAAAGAATTCTGCTAACATCTTCTTGAATAGTAGTAACACCCCTATTATTTGGAGTGGTGACTTGAAATATGGCAGAGGGTGCTCACAGCATCAGACGCATCTTTTCCTCTCCTGTAAAAATTGACCCACGTTTACCTGAGTTATAAACCTCTGAAAAATTGCAATTTGCACATGCCCCATAGATACAATGGGGATTTTAGCAGGGTCATCTGCACAGAGCATGCCCTTGTCCAGGGGCTGAGAAGGACTCTCCCAAATTGGAGCGCTGAGGCTGCAGGCTATGCTAATCCAGAATGTCTCTCCTGTGCTCTCCATGACCCAGGCAGAGTGGCAGAGGAAGCTGTCTGAGTTGAATGCAGAAGGGACAAGAGACAGATCCCCGGAGGGGATGGGTGAATATACTAGGATAAAGTCTCTGAGGGGAGTAAAGAGTCCCACCCACCCATATCACAGAAGCACGGGAATAAGAAACTAAGGAAAATCTCCAGAATTCCTTCACTTCACCTGCTATGCTGTCAGTTCACTTTCCACACTTCCATCTGGAAACCCATTGCAATAAGTAATATGCACCTCAAACTACATCCAACTCTTGAACGAACATAATACTTGTTAGTGACTTCATGCTGTCCTCTCAGACAGGTATGCTGGCTGGCACGTGTCACTGGAAAAGCTAACCCCCTCAACACTGAAGAGTCAATTCTAAAACAAACTTAGCAATGAAAGTTTTCACATTGGTCCGACCTCCTACAGAAGGACAATAATTTCATACTTCATGGTGTTTTTCAAAAAGGATCCAGGGGAAAGGCAAGAGTGCGGAATATTTCATCCCATGGTGCAGTGGTCTCCAAACTTTTGGGGCTGCTGGGCGCCGGGCCACTCACACACCGCATGTCTGGGGGCGGGGCCACTCACAGGCCGTGCACCCGGGGGCAGGGCTGCACAGGCACCGTGCACCCAGGGGCAGGGCGCAGGGCTGGCACATGCGCTGCACGCCCGTGGGGGAACGGGGCCGGCACGTGCACCGCGCGCCTGGGGGGAGCGGGGCCGGCATGTGCCGCGACCCCGGGGCAGGAGCTGCCCATGCACCAGAGGCTAGCACCGGTATGTGCCGTGCGCTCAGGGCAAGGGCCACCCATGCGCCAGCCCAGATTGTTCGGTGGACGCACATAAATGGCCTGGCGGGTGCCATGGCGCCCACGGGCACCACGTTGGGGACCACCATGGTGCTTTTTGATATAGTGACAGGTAAAACTCAGATTTCTCCCTCCCAAGTACCTCAGAAAATTCAATCAGCAATTCAAATTAATCCCACAGTTCACATCACACAGTCCTTTAGAGACCTTTGTCACCTCCATGAAAAGAAAAAGTATGGAGCAAGCCTAGCTGTGGTGTTGCTTCCCCTCACCCCATAATACAGAGGGATACAGCCAATGCTATGCTAGAGCTAGCGTCCACCCACACAGGAGAGAAGCGATAAGATGTTAGCACCTTTGTGTTTAGCACGTTACTGGCAATTCGACACAGCATGAGCAGGCTGTCTTCTTGCACAGTCCAGGTGACACGCAGGCGCGTCATTCTCAGCAGGGCGCTCTGATCAGTCTCATCATGGTAGCGTAGCTTTTTATTGTTTTCTACAGACTCCGCTAAACACAAACCCAAAGGGAGACAATTATACTAACAATGTTTTGACAAACAGGAGTCGTCCTGTGGCACCTTAGAGACTAACAAAAATATATAAATAGGATCATTCACTTCCGTGGGCAGAACCCATTTCTTCAGATGAGATGAGCTTGTGTTCTGACAGACGTCTGTCTTTGTAGCAAGGCCTTTACTTATTTGCTAAGTATTATGCTAATGCCTAGAGGCTCCAGCTGAGACTGGAGGCTCATTAAGTGCTGTATAAACACACAGTCGCTGCGCTGAACAGTTTACAGTCTAAATGGGCAAGACAGACAAAAGGTGGGAAAATGGAAGTATTAGCCTTATTTTCTAGGCAAAGAACTGAGGCACAGAGAGATTAGGTGACTTAGTCTGCACTGGGTTTCGGCCTGCCCATAAACATGACTTCTATTATTTATCTGAGGTAGTGCCCACTATGGGCAAGATGCTTAGGAAAAGTGTCTCCACCTCAGAACCTCACAAATTGAGAAGTCTGAGTGAACATCTAATTGTGAATTGTTTGTCTAACAAAGCTAACAATTTCAGTGATGAAAGGCCTCATGGCTCCCATCTCTAGATTGTAATTCATTCCTGTCACAACCATTGACCTGTTCTGTTACCTTGGACACGTCACTTGATCGCTCTATGCCTGTTTCCCCATCCTCTGTCTGTCTTGATGACAAATTCTTTGGGACAGAGATTGTCTTTTACTACGTGTATGTAGAGTACCTACACAATGGGACCCTGACCTCAATTGGGATCTGTAAGTGTTTCCGTAACTTACATAATATTAATGGGGGGGAAGCAAGTGTAGAGGGAGGAAGGTTGAGGGTTTTGAGACAATGAGACTGAGACTAGCAGGGAGTAGTCAGCAGGATTAGAAAGGAAGAGCCAATCAATGTAATATTGTGAGTTGGCACAGTCTGGCAGCCTTTTTCAAAGGGGTTCAACAGAACAGGAACAATAATGGGAACAACTATGGGGTGGACAGTGGTCTCACTGGTACAGGAGACAGGCGAGCTGAAAATAGACACCACAGAACCAATTAGAGGAGGGACATCAGGGGCTGAATGCAGCAGAGAAGCTAGAACATGAGAACTGAAAAAGGAAGTGATGGTTGAAGATGCTGAATTCAGAGATGGAGACACCAAAAAGAGATTACTAAAGCCCAAAAGTCCAAGGAAGTGAAGTCATCACGAAGAAATTATAATTGTTCCTGCGAAGGGTTGGTGACAGAAAGCCAGGCAGCAATCAGAAAGAGGAGCTGGAGGCAAGAGGGGCTTTAGATTACAGCCACTCAAATGGAAAGGGAGAGATGGGCCAGCTAGAGTGGTTTTCAGAGAAGGGCCTGGTGTCACCAGGGCAACCTTCAGGATCGGGAGGAGAGCACAGATTTAGAGTGTGAGATGCGGTGGATCAAGGCAAGTTTGTACACAAGAATTAAGATTCCTGTGCATGTGAGGGAGAGGAAGTTGAGGAGGAGAGAGTGCAGAAGGGAAGAAGGCAGCAAAGAAAAGGTTTGGAAAATTTGTGAGAATGAAAAAGTGGAGGCCGGGGAGAAGACTCAGACAATAGTGAATGAGAAAGTAAATTTTGTGGAAGTCCTTGGGAAGAAGGTGATGGTGATGCCCACAATGTGGGGAGGAGGGAGCAAGACAGTGAAAGGAAGAGTGAAGGCCAGAAGCTAGGAAATGATTTCTCCAGAAAGCAATCTGACTGCCTTGTGGCTCTCCGCAGGACGTATCAAGTGGAGGGGACACATCCAGGGTCACTGCAAAACTGTGGTGCAACCACAGCAATGGCCGATGGGTTCAGTGATTCTGCAGCTAGTATGACTGGCGATACAAACCTGTGAGTGCAATGGCAGTGATCCATCATCCTGCAAAGACAGCACACAGCCACAGGGCATTGATAGTTCTCTGCTCATCAGCTGGCCAACCCCAGGAAGTGGCCAATGAAAGCCTGTGGTTACACAAAACCACACAGGCACTTCCCAAGCCATGCCACAGCATGCAGACTGCTCAAAACAAAGCTTCTCTTACTGACACACAAGCTACTTACTTACCTTTCTTTTTCTTCCTTGTCTTCTTCCCAGTGTCTTTCTTCAGCCTCTTACGTTTCTGGCTTTTTCCACCCTTCACTCTCTTGGTTCTGCCCTCTGTTGCTTCTTTACCAATCTCAATACACTCTTCCTTCTGCCCGGGGGACTTTGATCCTTCCTTCGCATCTCCCAAAATGTTTATTTTATTGCCTAAGTAGAAGAACATTTATATCCGTGGAATTGTATAGTAAACTATGGAATGCAACGGTAAGCAATCAAAACTCAAAATATATACCACCCAACTCTGCCTCTGTCGTGTACATACATTATCAGTGTAGCCAAGTAATCATGTCTTATTTCTCTAAGATAAGCTAACAATAGGGAAATGGATCTCCAAACCTGGGGAAAATCTTAAGGAAACATATCATGATGTAATTGGAGACTGCAATGTGATAACCACATATGTACAAGAGGGCAGTTAAAGTTTTACTTTCAACCTTAGGTTTCACTTTTCCTTACTGTGATGCAATCTCAACATTATTGTAACTCGATCACATTTAATTTCTTCCAACTTACTGGGAATTAAAATCAAACCAAATGTGAAGACAATGATTCCATAGTTTCAAAGTTACTAACTTTTGAAGTCAGCAAGTAAAGCATCTTATCTGAAGTTAGTGTTTAATAAAGAGACTCCACATCAACACTGCATCAATTCTCTTTACACATGGCTTGTAGTTTATACATTTCAACAATGAACTCTATAAAACAAGTCTGAAGACAACTTGGATTGGTTTTAAAGTTTTGAATGTTTAAGTGCATTGGGCCTGTTTTCAAAAAGTAACTGAATCTAATCACTTGTCTAAAGAGTGAATAGAGTCTACTATTCATACTTCGTAAGTCATTGTCAGATGCTCCTAACTTTGGTTAAAAACAAAAAACAAACCAAAACAAAAAAGCAATATTTTTTTAAACTAAGCAGAGGAACCTCAATAAGAAAAAAAAATCAGCCACAAAAGACCAATATTTTGGAAAAGTATAAAAATGTGAAAATTGTTTTCTGTTCTATATTGCAGCGGGAAGTACAAGACACAATACAAGTATGGCTATAGTAGAAAGATCTGAAACCGTATCTGACTTTTCAGTCACGTACAATAAACATTCATCTGGCCTTTCTGCAACCTGATCTCCTGAGTTTCTCCAGGATGCAGAAGAAGTGACCAAATATTGTCTCACATCCAGAGACAGGAAAGACAGTTAAATTATTTCACTGTTCCAGTAATGACCTAGAATGTCCCATTGTTTGAGAAAAAGGAGCACAGTACTAATGCAATTACTATCATGTATATGCACAATTATTTTACCTCCAGTACTGAGTGGAAGGGGGTGTTTTGTTAAGAAAGTCTGGAGTCTCGTTGTAAGTCCATTTTCAGGAACAGTATTTTCCTGAAAGCAACAAAACATCCACCAAGACAAGATTTAAGGACCAAGGAGAATAGTCTTTAATACTAAAACATCTAATACATTTATATGTTGCACAGTTTTCAGAAAGAGATTTTTAATATAAACAGTGGAAAGATTGCTGGCGTGAGTCAAAGTTGATCTAGTAACATACTCACTGCAGGTTGAACCTCCTGGGTCCAGCACCCTTGGGACCTGAGTGGGTCCTAGCAAAGGAATTGGACAGACCAAGGGAGGAGTTCTCCTGGATGCTGCCCTGGGAGAACCCGGAGGCCTGACCTCCTCTGGCCCACCTGCCTGGTTCTACTCACTGCCCTGCACAAAGGGGTGGCAGCCGGTCCCAGGGTTCCCTGACCCCAACCATCTGGCCCCATGCAAGGCAGCAGCCACTCTTGGGGCTCCCTGACTCTGCTGCCTGACCCCACATTGGGCAGCAGCTGCTCCTGGGGCTTCCTGCTCCTGTGACGCATGAGGCAGCGGCCTCTTGCAGGGCTCTCTGCCCCCAGGTCATTGGCCCAGCGGGCTGCCCCCCAGACCAATTCGCTCGTAGCAGCTCTCAAACTCTGAGGCGAGGGCTTTCTGATCCAGCAATATCTGTAGTCCTGCCAGACCATGGATGTTGCTGGACCAGAGAGGACTGGACCAGAGAGGTTCAACCTGTACTAAATATATGGATAGGTTTATAACATTTCTAAAGTTCTTCCAACACTACCACCATTAATGGAAGTTCTGAACAGGTAGTGCTTCCCAAACCATACTTCATCCAACCAGATCTCTAGTCCTATGAAGATAATGATAAAACAGAATGTTAGCCATTCCCAGCAATACCTGCCATTTTCTGTGTGGCTACTGCAACTCCAAATCTGTTCCCTTATTTGCATGCTTCCATGGAGTCTCTGTGTTGCACCATTAATACCGGCAGTATATGTGATGGGCTGACAGACATCACTGAGAAAAGTCTCAGCAGGGATCAGAGGCTTTCAAATACTTTACTCTCTCTCCTACCCCCCAAACATTGTTCTTTTCTTCCCTAACCTCTACATCATAAGGGAGCTGTACGATACTGTAACCTTCCCAAGGCACTTCTTAGGGTTGCACTTGCAAGGGACAGAGTTAAGGTTAGGTGGGGGAACGGCATGGGAGGCATTATCCTGTACTGAGATCTTCTAATGTTTCTAGTGTGCACTGCATGTGGTTTGGAGGTTCCGGTATTCAGCTGCCCAATTCCACATTCTAAAAGTACAAGAAGAAGTACTCAGCAACCTTTTACTCTTGTATTGATTATGTAAGTAGTGACTTCTCCTTTAGCTGAATGTGCTGTTACAGCAAATATCTGTAAAGCACATGTACTGAAGGGAACTATAACTCAGACTGTGTTTCACAACGCAGACACATTTTTCCATCCACTAAACATAAAAATTCATCATGGTAACTATTCATTCGCTATCTGCTGCCTTTAATGTTTTTAATTAAGATACCTTGACAAGGAAAAACCTTGCAAAGATGCGTGTCCCTCAGAATGCACACAACTAGAATAGCAAAGATTGCTATTAATATTTCAATAACTTTTAAAAATACTAGAAATTAAAAGTTTAAATAAAGTCAAGCTATTGCTATATAATAAATCCACTTAGAGCCCCCACTTACCTTCCTATTTTTATTAAGGATATAGCTTGTCCAGATCCAATTGCGTTTTAAATGTCCATAAAAGCTGGAATCCAGACCTCCAGCTCCCATCCCATCCCCAGGAATAGATCCATCATCTACCACCTCTCGACTTCCTCTAAAGGAAAAGAGAAACAAAATTAATAGTAACAGACTTGTAAGAATAGTTGATAAGACTTTTGCTATACAGGTTTGTGTATGTCACAAGTGTAAAATCACCAACAGCTAGTGGGTTGGTGAAAAACAGAAGGAAAAAGGTACATGCAATTGTGCTCACAAAAAAGTTGGCAACAATGCTGCTTTTGTACTTAGCGCAGGTACTCAGGATCAATGAACTGACTTTTCAATTTTAGCAAAAAGAATTTGAGTATTAGAAATTGCAAGCAAAGAAATTGCAGAACTGTTAACTTATATCACACTGCAGCACCAAATGCTGCTCTCACTAACACCTGTGCCACCCACCTGGAGACCAAGTTGGCCAAGAGGAAACTGAGGTTAGAATTCACCTAACAGGATTTTTAACTGAGAGAGCACAAAGAACTGAAAGAACACAGCTTTGTAATGGAGATGGCAGTGGCTCGCCCTTTATTACTGTCTTGAGTTTGGGGCTCATAGATTTGGTCAATAGCAAAGGTGATGAGATGCAAGGAAATAAAGACATCAGTCATTAGAGCTGAGATTTGAACTCTCAGACTCCTGGCTGCCGGTGCAAGGAACTCTGCTTTAGGTTACAGAGGAATTTGACATGTTTTAGTTTGAGTTAAGGGTGATGGAGGTTTCTCTTAGCCTTAGAGGGTATGTAGGAGACCAAAATTTTTGGGCTGCCCATTCATGCTGTCTGCATTAAAACAAACACTCTCCCAAAAAGCAAACCACCACACGAAGCACAACCAGAAACCACCGCTCTACTCAGTCCTTCTGCACAGTGCAATTCAGGGAAGTTCTCTAGCCTAATTCCTATTTGAACGATAGCAGATCTTTTACAAATCTAAGCTTGGTTAAAAAATTGCCAGTGACAGAGAACCCACTTTGTCAATGGTTCCAATGATTAATCTCCCTCACTGTTATGCTTTCTTTTCAGCTGAATTAGTGTAACTATCCTCAGTCTTGTTATATCTTTGTCAGGTGGGCTGAAGAGAATATTTAATAATGGAAACGACGTAAATATTCTTAACTGTAATCAGGTCATTCCTTAACCTTCTCTTTCTTAAGCCAAATAGTTCGAGTTCTGTGCCAAATATAGAGATAAAATAATTTTTCTGGTATTACTCAAGATTCCAACGTATGGATTCAAGGATTGCATTAGCCTGTTGTCCACACTGTCACACAGAGCTCATGTTTAGCTGATTAAGCACCACAATAACCAAATGTTTCCAGTCATTGCATCCCAGGATAGAGTCCCCCATCCTGTAACTATCACCTACATTCTGTGTTCGGAGCTGCATACGTTTTCATTTAACGATATTAAAATGCATTTTGTTTGCTTGCACCCAAATTATCAAGTGATCCAGATTGCTTTCTATCAATTTTATCATTTTTGCCATTTACCATTCCCTTCTCCCACCCCCCCCCACCCCAATTTATATGCTGTCAGCAAACTTTATCAATGATTAGTGTGTGATTTTCTTTCAGGTTTTTGATTAAAATGGTAACTAGAACAGGGCCAAGAGCCGAATGCTGTAGGATCCAACTAGAAACACACCAGCACGACAACTCTCTGGTTATAATTACATTGAGAGTTCTCAGTTAGCCAGCTTTTAAGCCATTTCAATGTGTACCATGTTAAATTTATATCTTTACATTTTAATTTAAAAAATTGGAATGTGATGCCTAGCCAAATGCCTTGCAAAAGTCCTGGGGTGGAAGGGGATAGGGAGAGAATGAATAAAATGGGACAGATGTTTGTCACATCCGTTAATACAGTATGGGAAGGCACTCAGATATGACGAGGAAGACAATATGTGACAGTGCAGCACAGCAATATTGTCACTCCTAAATACACAGGATTTATCTTGGCAAGTTTCTTTTCCTTTATGAAGAAAAAGTTACAAACCAGGAGACAAAAACTACTTCTTCACAGAACTGATACTCAATGAGTTCATGTGAAGCAACACATGGAACAAGACCCAGAGCCTAGAGCAAATCAGATTACCTGCAAGAAGGGACGTAAAAGATAAGACAATCCAGTTCAGATATCAAAAAGTGGTAATGTTAGATCTCACAATTCTCTTTCTACCAATCCATTTTCATCCATCCACTATGAATAATTCAAATACTAGACAAGATTCTTTTTTGAATTTGTTAAAGATTTAATATCCCTGTTAAGATTCAGCCTTAATTATGCTGTCAAAACTATCTCCAGCATAATTACAAGTCATAATCTGGGAGAGATACATTTTTAATAGGCTGTCAGACAGTACTGTGATGGGAAACACAACAGCATGACTCTCATGTCACTTAGGTACTTTGCTAAAACCCAACTGTAGAATTCAACTGTTTGGAAACACTAACTTCTCTATAAGAGACTCCGTGGTTACTTTACTGCAGTGGAATAGAATATTAACACTTCACCTGCATTTTTTAAGAACCTATTGTGTGATGTGACTTCCATTAATGCTGGTGGATGTTCTATGTACTTATCACAATGCAGCATATGTGCAGTTACGCTACCGGATACATAGCAACCAGCTCATACTAGTCAAAGGACAGAAATAGGCAGGGCACAAATCACTGAATCTATTCGCCCATGGCGATTTCAGCCGGTTGCCCTGTTCACCGGCGGCGTGCGCATGTGCAACGTGGGTCTTGTGGATGCACAGTGCGGGGCTGGCGAGTAGGTTTCACCGCCGTTTGTCAAGCCCTGGAAATAGGAAAATGTGTCTATACAGATTTTGAAAGTCTAGTCAAAGCATTACTCAGGACTATATAATGGGTAGGTGCAAAGATTCTTCAAACATTATCACTGCTGGTGTGGTGCTTCTTAAACATCCAAAAGTTTTCAACACTCTTAGCTGTTGAATATAGGAGGTAACTTGACCCCACTTTTCCCACTTAGTAATGCATAGCACTGGTCACTTAACCTCCAAACTCGTCTTCAAATTAGTCTACTCAACTGAAAACGTAGGACCGATCAATTATCTAACCTCTTACGTGGATGGACTCTGAGGCTGTGTCCAGACTCAGGGGTTTTTTCGAAAAAAGTAGCCTTTTTTCTAAAAAACTTCACCTGCGTCTAGACTGCAGCCGCGTTCTTTCGAAATTAAATCGAAAGAACGCGGCTTTTCTTTCGACGGCGGTAAACCTCATTTCACGAGGAAGAACGCCTTCTTTCGAAAGTGCTTCTTTCGAAAGAAGGCGTTCTTGAATGTAAATAGGGCTTCTTCGAAAGAGAGCATCCAGACTCACTGGGTGCTTTCTTTCGAAAAAGCAGCTTGCTCTTTCGAAAGTTCCGCGTGCAGTCTAGACGCTCTCTTTCGAAAGAGGCTCTTTAGTATCTTTCGAAAGAGCCTCTTTCGAAAGAGGCTTGCAGTCTAGTCATAGCCTGAGACAGAAAGACATACCAGATTAAGTACTACAGTGCTAACTCAAACACTATCAGTTTAATACGCTTAAAATAAACAACTCTGTTTTGAACCCATCTCTTCAGTGACCCAGAAAGCTGGAAAGAGACCTACGAGGTATATTCCAGCATTGCACACTTTCGCTCAAGGTTGTGTTTATCTACTGCCGACTCCTGTTCCCTCTGCACATCCAGCACGGTGCCAGCCTCCTCACCCTGAAGGATACTTCTTTTTGAACGCGGATGGCGGACAACTCCTAAATAATACAAACATACTTAGGTTACTATCAGCAGAAAGAGCTATGTTTCCATCTCTCTTACATCCTGCTTCTGGCTGCTTGCTGCCATCATGGCCAATTGTTGGCAAATGAATGGGGCAGAGATCTCCTTGAAACAGAAATGCTAAGAGACTCAGGAAAACCCTCTCCCACTTCCCTTAGGTATCAAGGATGCTGTTTTCATAACAGAGTTGCTTGTGAGAGTCCTGACCTGGACCTCAAATTCCAATGCAGAGGTCCACTTGGCACAGAGGCGTGGTGATGGTACCCATCAGGAAGACGGCTGCACACTGATGCTTTGGACACAGTTCCCAGAGTTTAGTGTAGATCCTAAAGCTGGTTATAGTCCCCAAGGGACAGCCTGTTGAGGACTACTTGAGCACAAGGTGAGGTAGAAATGCTCTCTCCCCATCTGCCTCTTACACTAGGGTGGGGTCGGATGAATAGTACAGGATGGTCTACACCAGTCAAGAGCCCCCTCACGCTGAGGGAAACTGTAAGCTGGCCAGATCCATGAATTTTTCGGTCTTTTGTGCTGACAGCACAGCAGGCTAGGCCTTGAATGCATCTGGCACACAGGCTCAGCATAAGCTGAAGCACTCACATAGTTTTGTTGTTTTCCCTCAAAGCAGCTAATTACTTGAAAACCCTAAAAGTTTCCAAAGCATGATGTTGGTAGCGTAATACACAAATCCTTGTATTAGAGGGAACCAGATGTGCATTACATCTATTACAGCCTGGTAAACAAACACTACTGCACCCTCACTGAGAGCAGAAGTGTGATGCCAAAATGATCAAAGTCATCTAATGCCTTCTGGAAAAAAGCTGCTTTGATATAAAAAGGAGGATTAAATTGCAAATGGATCACTCTGCTTAGCTGCTTTTAAGTTACAGAAAAAAAAGTTGCTTTTAGTTTCTGAAGCATTTGCGCTTTAACCAATTAATGCTATTACATTACTCTACCTTATTTAAAAGCAGCTTTATCGTTAAAGAAAAAAACAGATCTACACTCTCCTGTTGTGAAAATACCACAAGCACTTACAACTGTAATACTTATTACATCTATGAACCTGTGCTTTTGGGCTAGGTCGGAATATCCAACAGAAGGTTTAGCAGCATGGTTCTCAGAAAAGAAGAAAGTTGCCCATAAAAAAATCGCGCTAAAAAAAAAAACCCTCGCTGCCAACATATTTTTATTGTGTTTGGCAAGGACTGAGCTGGGCCCTGTATGGAGGTGGGCATGAACTACTTGCTTTGTAACTCTGCTCTGAAGGTTTTATCTTTTCTGAGTCTCATTCCTGGAGCTTAGCTCCTTAGCACGAGATAACCTCCAAGTCCTAAAGTTTCCTGGCACGTAAGGGCAGCGGCCAGGAGTGCAACATGCCCTATACTGTTCATTGTGTTGCATGCTGCACCCTAACCTATGCCCTTACTTGGGGTCAATTTCCAGCCAATTTCAGATTACCCACAGCCCAAAGAGGACCAATCACAAACATAAGAATGGTCTGACCCAGTAAGGCCAAAGGTCCATCTAGCCCAGAATCCTGTCTTTCAGCAGTGACCAATGCCAGGTGCCCCAGAGGGAGTGAACAGAAAAGGTAATCATCACATGATCCCTCTATGGTCATCCACTTCCAGCCACTGACAAACAGAGCCTAGGGACACCATTCTTACCCATACTGGCTAATAGCTACTGATGGACCTAACCTCCATGAATTTATCTATTTTTTTTAACCCTGCTAAAGTCTTGGTCTTCACAACATCCTCTGGCAAGGAGTTCCATAGGTTGACTGTGCACTGAGTGAAGAAAAATTTCCTTTTGTTTGTTTTAAACCTGCAACCTATTTATTTCATTTGGTGACCCCTAGTTCTTACGTTATGGGAACAAGTAAATAACTTTTCCTTATTCACTTTTTCCATACCAGTCATGATTTTATAGAGCTCTATCATATCCCCCTTAGTCTCCTCTTTTCTAAGCTGAAAAGTCCAAGTCTTTTTAAACTCTCTTCATATGGGACCCATTCCAAACCCCTAATCATTTCTGTTGCCCTTTTCTGAACCTTTTCCAATGTCAATGTATCTTTTTTGAGATGAGATGACCACATCTATACACAGTATTCAAGATGTGGGCATACCATGCATTTATATAAAGGCAATACGATATTCTCTGTCTTATTCTCTATCCCTTTTTTAATTATTCCTAACATTGTTTGCTTTTTTTGTCTGACTGCTGCTGCACATTGAGTGGATGTTTTCAGAGAACTATCCACAATGACTCCAAGAGCTCTCTCGAGCAGTTAAGATAAATTAGTCCCCATCTTATTGTATGTGTAATTAGGATTATTTTTCTGTTTTTTTAACATCAATTGAGAAGGTTACTATTTCAAACCTTTAGACAAACTGCAGAACAGACTCTATCCAGAGTGATATGTGCCCACAAGGGTTTATAGATACTAAGTTACAGGTTACATGACTGAATCTATCTTACTTCAAGGCAGAGTACAAGGGAAGGTGTGAGAAGCACAGGGCATCAAGGATGAAGGAGGGAATGACAGAGAATGCTGACTCATACCATACCTAATGGAGTGTTCAGGCAGACACACTGCAAATCAAACCAAAAGTTTTCTACGTCCTGCATGGTGTTCAAAACATATAAACGTCTTTCAAATGGGCGGCTGCTTTGAGCCAGGTTATAGTGAGGGTCGCAGATAGTAGTATCAATAATCATGGCATTTCTCTTCATATAGACGAAGACCTGTGAAACACATAAAGGTTTCACACCTGTAAGTAAAATTGCTGAAATGCCTATTTTAGCAGGACACAACTTCATCTATTCCAAATGCCTGAAACTGGCAACAACCACTGTGCACATTGCTGTCATCTTGATCAATGAAGGCACTTTAGTTTCTGTGACAATCACCACCCAATGGTTAGGATCAGGAATATAATTCCAGAAATTTTTTTCAAGTGGGTTGTAATAGAACAGGGGTGGCTAATATCCGGCCCACCAAGATCCTCTGGGCTACCCATGTCCCAAGGACCAGCAGAACCCTCAGGCAGGCTCCCTACCTGCCATGACCCCACATGCTCAAAGCAGCTGGCTGATGGGGCCAGCATGTGTGTCTATACAGAAACAGGTCAATGGGAGCCACCTGGGCTGTGCAGGAAGGTCGCGGAGCCCCTTCCTCCCCTGGTGTGGGCCCAGCAGCTGGCTGTTTTGAGCATGTGGGGGCGTGTCAGGCAGGGAGTCTGCCTGAGGGTCCCGCTGGGCTGCTGGCTGGGAGCCACTTAGGGTAAAGCGCCTCTCAGTCCGAGCCTGCACCTGGCATCCCATCCCGTACCGCACCCCAATCCCTGACCCAAAGCAGCATGGCACCCCAGTTCCCAGTAACGAGGCAAACACAGTAAGCCTCTTCATTCTCAGACAGGATGCAGGCACTCTGGAAACTTCCAGATCATGACTGCATATAGCTTGTAGGAATCTGGCTCAATGTCTGAGGAGTTTCATTCCAAAATAATGGGCATAAATCCATGCATCTTATACCAAAGCCAACTATTTAAGATCATCACAAATTTGAAATCTTTTATTTTATCATCACCAGAACAAAGAGGACAGTAATATTCAAGTTTTCAATAAAGTTACCTGATCTTTATCTTGGAATTTCTCGGTTGGACCAAACTGCAGCAGCCCCATATAACATAACCTCTGCAGGTTTTCCACCACTGAAAAGATGTATCTCCTGTAACATAGATAGATGTGTTACATTTAGTATTCATGACAAATTAAACAGATGTGATACATATCACCAATTTACACTAACCTGTAAAAACAGGCACCAGCAAGAACAACGTTAAATAGACTTTAAATGATCCAGCAGATCATTTCACTGTAGTTTGGAAAGAGAAGACACCTGGCTGCTATATCAGGACTGACAGAATTGCATGTACGCTGTAGGATGGGAGGACCTGGCAATGATCCACACCTTAAGGTTGCCTGACACTTTCCGACCCTGTTTTCAGTTTTTTCTCACTTTGCCAAACTAATCATTCAGGCTGAAATATTTCATGACAGATATCTTGTGGAGGCTTAATTTTTTGGAAAGCTTCAATAAAACTGGCTGCAACCAAGCATAAGGTTAGGAAAAAATACATTCTTTAGCCCATGTTAAAAAAAAATCTTACAGACTGTTTCATTGACACACTCTAGTGCAGTGTTTCTCAGCCAGTGGTACGAATACCCTTAGGGGTACTCAAGAGAAGTCTGGGGGAGGGGGGGGGGGTACGTCAACACAGCTGACATTTGGAGAAAAGTGAATTTGTGTTTTAAAGTTTTACAGCGTTTTATTATTTTTGTATTTTTTATACCCAAAAATTTCATCACCTGCCCGGCTACAATTAAGTTGTTTAAACAAATGTGTTGCAATGGTAGGAAATAATTGTGTGTCTGAAAACTGAAGGTACTGGGGGCACTTATAATTTTTTTTGAGAAGGGGATACTTTATAAAATAAGGTTGAGAAACACTGCTCTAGTGTCTCCAAAGATTGCAGTATGAACTTGGAATTTGTCAGAGGGGGCTGCTGAGATCAGAAAGGTGCTTTCTAGTGTTTCCATAAAGACCCACCCAAATTTGGCAAGTCATAAGCCTCTTAAAAAAAAAAAAAAAAACAACCACGTTCCATATGCACAGTAGAGATTTGTTTGAGAGTGGCAGCTAAAAATCTCTCAAATTTTCATCTGCCCTAAATAGATTCCTGTTAAGGCCTGCAGAAGCCAAGAAGTACATTCCCTGCTATTGCTCCTCCAAGCTCATGCAGACTGCTATGGTGCCAAGCACAGAACAGAGAGCAGGAAGAGTGTTTTTGTTTTGCTCTCAATACTTCCCACGCTGGTGCCCAAGAAGCTTGGAGGAAAAAGGAAGCTACCTGATTAGAATGCAGATGTGATGAGCAGAAAGCTAGGATGGGTGTGATACAAGCAGATATGCTGGTCTGGAGTGGAGATGGAGGGGGGGGAGAAGACTAGGAACCATTAGAGATTAAACTCAAGAATTTAGAACAGAACCCATATTCTCAAGTCTCAGCATTCCTCTGCTGCATAGGCACCAGCAATGTTTGTCTGAGCCTCCTCGGCTGGCTGGCTCACAGAGGATACCAGCCTGCTAGTGCTACCATCAATCCATTTGTTCAAATGGCAGAAGTTTGTGCTGGGCAGCTAAAGGTTCCAACCCTGCTGACTTGTGGTGGGTTGATACATGATGAAATCTGTTCGCTCACATTGCTTTTTATTAAAATGTAAGAAACTTTGCAGATGTCAAGTTGCCTGTGCCACTCTTTGACGTGTTCATTGCCAACTCAGGATATTCTTGTTTGGGAAGAAACAAGACAGCGTGTCATAAGGTGAACTTTCCAACCTAGAGTGCTAGCCAATAAGCACTGCTCTTTCACTGATCAAGCATCCTGAACCATCTGATATTCTGAATGAGCCCAGATCAAATTTGATCAGCCGGTTGCAATGCTTCCCCAGTGACCACATCAATTTCTAAAAATGTGTTCTCTCTCTGACAACATGGACGACATTCCAAGCCCCCAATCACTTTACCCAAATGTTGCTTTCTTCTTCCTCCCCCATCCTTTGGCCTGTTTTTCAACTTTTGGACCATAAAATCCTTCTGGACAGAGAATGTACATAGTTGGTCTTTGGGAGAACAATCAACACCATCACTTCTTCCCCACAACCGCTTGGTTTGACCCATCTTGCCACCACAGGTACTTGCCTTTTATAAAGAAGCTGCTGTCGGACTGACCTCGGAAGAAATCTGATCAGTATGTGTTTTTTAAGAGGATTGTTTAAAAAATCTTCAAGACCATCCACCTAAAAAATATTTGACACTAAGTTTATTAAAATGTGAAAATTGACTGAAATGTCATCAGCACATTGAGTAGTAATTAGCTAGTCTTCAAAGAAGGCACAGTCAAGTATGACGACTGCCTTCAGAAATTAGGGGCTTTTTAATATAATAAATACCAGCACCAAAAAAAAAAGCAGCTTGATAAATTGGAGGGGGTTCAGAGAAGTACCATGAGAACAATTAAAGGATTAGAAACTATTATAGTGATAGATTCAGGGAGTTGATCCATTTAACTTGAGAAAAAAAAGGTTAAGTGATGACTTGCTTTGCCTATAAGTGGGAACAAATATTTTATAGTGGTCTCTTCAAGGTAGCCAGTAAAGGAACAACACGATCGAAGTAGCTGGTTGGAAGCTAAAACTAGTGAAATTCAGACTGAAAATGAGGTGTACCATGAAACAATTTACCGATGGTAGAGGAAGCTTCTTCGTTACTGACAACTTTTAAACAGAGATTGGATGTTTTGTAAAAGATCAGCTCTAGGAAATGTTCCAGAGAACTTCCCCCAGAACAGGATATATGGGTGATCAGTAGATAATCAAATGGTTCCTTTTGGCCTTGGACTTGATGAATTGCCAGTGCATACAGTGTGGCTAATCATTAGTCGTGTTAATTAATTTTACCAGGCAAGAGCAGAGCTCTATGAAGTCTTCAGTAATTTTCATGCAAATTAATGCCCTTAGAATCAATAGCACTAGAATCAATAGAGCTGCTCATCTTGGAATGATTATTTTCTTCCGAAATCAAACTGGCAAACACTGCAGTTAAATTTCCATGGACTACCACCTGAAATGGATTACATGGTCTTAAGCAGATAATACACACTACACACATCTGCTGCTTTGTAAACTACTCTTAATAGCACCACACATTACGTCATATGGAATATGAATTGCAAAATGAAGGCACAATACCTTGTAGCTGACTTGCACGATCTGGACAAAGACGGAGAGGGGTAGGCAAAGAAGAATGTCACTAACAAGAGCCCAGCCATACCCAAATTCCCTGTGAGCTGGGAGAGGAGGGACGAAGCGCATCCACGAAGTATCATTCACATACACTAGAGAAAGGATGCTGATTTAGACTCACAGAGGGAACAAAATGATTAATCCTATCTGGGGACCAGTGAAATACTGGAAATCTGACACCAGGTCCACATGTAAACAAACATAGGAACAGCAAAGCATGGTCCACCTAGTCTCCTATGCTGTTTTAGTCAATATCCATTACCAGAAGCTCCAGAGGGAAGTGCACTAATTCCTGCCAGGGGAATTATGGAATAACTGACATTTAGGAAAATCAGCTTCCTGAACTCAGGTAGTGAACTGGTGGGTTATGCCCAAACACTTTGCTCCCTACTTAGCAGCCACCCATTCACACCCCTTCTCCCCCATCCCTTTTACCCAGTGCATTCTCAAAATCTCAAGGCACATTCAATTCCCTGTCTCTCTCAAAGCTGCCTCTAAAGGTTTCCACAGACTGAGATCCAGGGACTCTGTTCCAGGTGTCATCTAGATTTACAGTAAACAATCACGATTATTATAGTATTAGGCACTATACACAAAGGCTACGTCTAGACTGGCATGATTTTCCGGAAATGCTTTTAACGGAAAAGTTTTCCGTTAAAAGCATTACAAGTTTTCCGTTAAAAGCATTTTTGGAAAAGCGCGTCTAAATTGGCAGGACACTTTTCCGCAAAAGCACTTTTTGCGGCAAAGCGTCCGTGGCCAATCTAGACGCGCTTTTTCATGAAAAAGCCCCAATCGCCATTTTTGCGAGCACCTGCTCCACACTGGCCCTTTAAGGGAAAAAGCCAGGCCTGGGACAGTGTAAGACTTTTGCCCGAACGGAAGCAGCATAGTATTTCCACAAAAAACTGACAATCTTACATGAGATCGTCAGTGCTTTTGCGGAAATTCAAGCGGCCAGTGTAGACAGCTGGCAAGTTTAGACACGGCCAAACAGTAGCAGACACCATGCCCTTTAGAGTTAATAATCTAAATAAAGAGAGACAGAAGAAGGGGAAAAAGGCTATAACACATGTGCACTACGAACAATGCAATGGCAGCATAAGTCATGTTAGTTTCATGATTTTGGGGAGGGGGAGTGTAGGGGAGGGTTAGTTTGGAGGGGATAAGCTATAGCAGAGTCATAGAATAATCATAGAATAATAGGACTGGAAGGGACCTCGAGAGGTCATCGAGTCCAGCCCCCCCGCCCTCAAGGCAGGATCAAGCTCCGTCTACACCATCCCTGACAGATGTCTATCTAATCTGTTCTTAAATATCTCCAGAGAGGGAGATTCCACCACCTCCCTTGGCAATTTATTCCAATATTTGACCACCCTGACAGTTAGGAATTTTTTCCTAATGTCCAATCTAAACCTCCCCTGCTGCACTTTAAGCCCATTACTCCTTGTCCTGTCCTCAGAAACCAAGAGGAACAAATTTTCTCCTTCCTCCTTGTGACACCCTTTTAGATATTTGAAAACCGCTATCATGTCCCCCCTTAATCTTCTTTTTTCCAAACTAAACAAGCCCAGTTCATGAAGCCTGGCTTCATAGGTCATGTTCTCTAAACCTTTAATCATTCTTGTTGCTCTTCTCTGTACCCTTTCCAATTTCTCCACATCTTTCTTGAAATGTGGCGCCCAGAACTGGACACAGTACTCCAGCTGAGGCCTAACTAGTGCAGAGTAGAGCGGCAGAATGACTTCACGAGTTTTGCTTACAACACACCTGTTGATACAACCTAGAATCATATTTGCTTTTTTTGCAACAGCATCACACTGTTGACTCATATTCAACTTGTGGTCCACTATGACCCCTAGATCCCTTTCTGCCATGCTCCTTCCTAGACAGTCGCTTCCCATCTTGTATGTATGGAACTGATTGTTCCTTCCTAAGTGGAGCACTTTGCATTTCTCTTTATTAAACCTCATCCTGTTTACCTCTGACCATTTCTCTAACTTGCTAAGGTCATTTTGAATTATGTCCCTATCCTCCAAAGAAGTTGCAACCCCACCCAGTTTGGTATCATCTGCAAACTTAATAAGCGTACTCTCTATCCCAATATCTACATCATTGATGAAGATATTGAACAGTATGGGTCCCAAAACAGACCCTTGAGGAACTCCACTTGTTATCCCTTTCCAGCAGGATTTAGAACCGTTAACAACAACTCTCTGACTACGGTTATCCAGCCAATTATGCACCCACCTTATCGTGGCCCTATCTAAGTTATATTTGCCTAGTTTATCAATAAGAATATCATGCGAGACCGTATCAAATGCCTTACTAAAGTCTAGGTATATGACATCCACCGCTTCTCCCTTATCCACAAGGCTCGTTATCTTATCAAAGAAAGCTATCAGATTAGTTTGGCATGACTTGTTCTTCACAAACCCATGCTGGCTATTCCCTATCACTTTATTACCTTCCAAGTGTTTGCATATGATTTCCTTAATTACCTGCTCCATTATCTTCCCTGGGACAGACGTTAAACTGACCGGTCTGTAGTTTCCTGGGTTGTTCTTATTCCCCTTTTTATAGATGGGCACAATATTTGCCCTTTTCCAGTCTTCTGGAATCTCCCCTGTCTGCCATGATTTTTCAAAGATCATAGCTAAAGGCTCAGATACCTCCTCTATCAGCTCCTTGAGTATCCTGGGATGCATTTCATCAGGACCTGGTGACTTGCTGACATCTAACTTTCCTAAGTGATTTTTAACTTGTTCTTTGTGTATCCTATCTTCTAAACTTACCCTCTCTCTGCTTGTATTCACTACGTTAGGCACACCTCCAGACTTCTCGGTGAAGACCGAAACAAAGAAGTCATTGAGCATCTCCGCCATTTCCAAGTTTCCTGTTACTGCTTCTCCCTCCTCACTAAGCAGTGGGCCTACCCTGTCCTTGGTCTTCCTCTTGCTTTTAATGTATTTATAAAAGGTCTTCTTGTTTCCCTTTATGCCTGTAGCTAGTTTGATCTCATTTTGTGCCTTTGCCTTTCTAATCTTGCCCCTGCATTCCCGTGTTGCTTGCCTATATTCATCCTTTGTTAGTTGTCCTAGTTTCCATTTTTTATATGACTCCTTTTTTATTTTGAGATTGTGCAAGATCTCCTTGTTAAGCCAAGCTGGTCTTTTGCCATATTTTCTATCTTTCCTACACAGCGGAATTGTTTGCTTTTGGGCCCTTAACAACGTCCCTTTGAAATACTTCCAACTCTCCTCAGTTGTTTTTCCCTTCAGTCTTGCTTCCCATGGGACCTTACCTACAAGTTCTCTGAGCTTATCAAAATCTGCCTTCCTGAAATCCATAACCTCAATTGTGGTGGTCTCCCTTCTACCTTTCCTTAAGATCATGAACTCTATTATTTCGTGGTCACTGTCCCCTATACTGTCTTCCACTTTCAAGTTCTCAACTAGTTCCTCCCTATTTGTTAAAACCAAATCCAGAACAGCTTCTCCTCTGGTAGCTTTTTCAACCTTCTGAAACAGAAAGTTGTCTCCAATGCAGTCCAGAAACTTATTGGATAGCCTGTGCCTCGCTGTGTTAGTTTCCCAACATATGTCTGGATAGTTGAAGTCCCCCATCACCACCAAATCTTGGGCTTTGGATAGTTTTGTTAATTGTTTAAAAAAGGCCTCATCCACCTCTTCCACCTGGCTAGGTGGCCTGTAGTAGACTCCTAGCATGATATCACCCTCGTTTTTTACCCCTTTTAGCTTAACCTCACCCTCGTTTTTTACCCCTTTTAGCTTAACCTCACCCTCGTTTTTTACCCCTTTTAGCTTAACCTCACCCTCGTTTTTTACCCCTTTTAGCTTAACCTCACCCTCGTTTTTTACCCCTTTTAGCTTAACCTCACCCTCGTTTTTTACCCCTTTTAGCTTAACCTCACCCTCGTTTTTTACCCCTTTTAGCTTAACCTCACCCTCGTTTTTTACCCCTTTTAGCTTAACCTCACCCTCGTTTTTTACCCCTTTTAGCTTAACCTCACCCTCGTTTTTTACCCCTTTTAGCTTAACCTCACCCTCGTTTTTTACCCCTTTTAGCTTAACCTCACCCTCGTTTTTTACCCCTTTTAGCTTAACCTCACCCTCGTTTTTTACCCCTTTTAGCTTAACCTCACCCTCGTTTTTTACCCCTTTTAGCTTAACCTCACCCTCGTTTTTTACCCCTTTTAGCTTAACCTCACCCTCGTTTTTTACCCCTTTTAGCTTAACCTCACCCTCGTTTTTTACCCCTTTTAGCTTAACCTCACCCTCGTTTTTTACCCCTTTTAGCTTAACCTCACCCTCGTTTTTTACCCCTTTTAGCTTAACCTCACCCTCGTTTTTTACCCCTTTTAGCTTAACCTCACCCTCGTTTTTTACCCCTTTTAGCTTAACCTCACCCTCGTTTTTTACCCCTTTTAGCTTAACCTCACCCTCGTTTTTTACCCCTTTTAGCTTAACCTCACCCTCGTTTTTTACCCCTTTTAGCTTAACCTCACCCTCGTTTTTTACCCCTTTTAGCTTAACCTCACCCTCGTTTTTTACCCCTTTTAGCTTAACCTCACCCTCGTTTTTTACCCCTTTTAGCTTAACAGAGGTGGCATTGAAGGGAAGGGGGTGAAGGAGACAGGCCAGGGGAGAAGTTAAGGGGCAAGTATGAAGTGAAACTGAGGTGACCAAACTGAGGAATGGGGAGAGAAGGGTTGGAATAAAAAAGAAAATAAAAAAAAAAGAAAATCAGCACAAGGTAGAGAAAAAGTTTAGTAAAAACAGTAGCGGATTCTCCTAGAGCCTCTGACTGGTTCCTCCCTGTAGCTTTTCCCCAAGGCCATGCGGTGCTGGAGTGAAGAAAAGAGGGGATAACAGCAGCCCCAAATCCATCAGAAAGAAGAGGCAGGGACTGCACACTTAAACAGATGAAGCATTTTTTATTTTGTTTTTTCTTAACCGAAATTTCTGAGCTATGCAGCCGGGACTGGGAATGAGCAGGTGACACCACTTTTTGGGGGGCAGATTCAGGACTCCAGCACCTGAAAACTCTGCTTTTGGGAGGGGAGTGCTTCCTCAAGATTGATTCAGAGTGTTCTACCAGGAGCCCAGAACATGTGCTTTTCTCTCCTTGACACAGTGAGAAGTTGAGCCGCTCACCATCTCTATAATCTCTGGATAAAGGCAGTCGGATAGTTCCATGATTTTTGCCTTCCAAACTAGTCTGTGGGATGGAATATAAAGAATCTGTTCCCTGTTCCTGGTTCAGCCTCCTTCAATGGTCCCACTCTGAAGGACCATCAGCAGGTAGAGAAAAGAGGGTATTTGACCAAAGTCAACTCCTGCTCATTCATTCCTCCAATTTCTTATTTACCCACTCAATTGGCGTACTGTACTCTGGCTGGGCCAGTTAGAGAGAGAGAAATTCAAACTACAAACTCCTCTGGATGCAGGCTATTTCTCTACTCTACGCAAAGTACCATGCCCCCCTACGGCGCCTTACAGAAATGGCAACGAAGAGTAATCAACAGGAGTGATTAGTTAAGGTTCCAAACCAGTGTCCATAGGCCACCAGCTTTTTAAAATACACTTGATTCCCAGCTGGGACCATTTTGGAGAAATCCCCCTCCCGCAATTTTTTTTTTTTTAGTTTGGCAAAAGTACATGCTCTCCATTTACAATATGTGCCTCACATTTTAATCATGGCTACAGCATCCACAGCTGAAGTGTGAAATTCTAAAACATGGCAGAACCAATCCTTTAATGAGGGCCAGTGCCTTAACAAGCCTTGTGGAGGTGGCGTTACAAACAACTGAAACAACATTTTGGAGCGTGCTCATTAAGTAGCTGGCATTAAAAGTGGTCAGTATTCCCCCCTCGCCCATCACCCCAAGAATTCCCAGAGTAGACACAGTGCGAGCATGATGGGGAGCCAGTTCTTACCTGTCTCACTCAATCCTTTAATGAGGGCCAGTGCCTTAACAAGCCTTGTGGAGGTGGCGTTACAAACAACTGAAACAACATTTTGGAGCGTGCTCATTAAGTAGCTGGCATTAAAAGTGGTCAGTATTCCCCCCTCGCCCATCACCCCAAGAATTCCCAGAGTAGACACAGTGCGAGCATGATGGGGAGCCAGTTCTTACCTGTCTCACTACACATTTTGTTTCTGCTGCAGCCTCATGGTCTCCTGATGCACTTGGATGGGTCTGAGTTATAACAGTGTGTGTGTCCAGTCCCTGCAAGCTTCCTCTTTTCTCACCATCACAGCTTGCTTTCTTTCGCTGCCCATTTAAAGGATGTCCATAAATTAAGTACCAGAGGAAAATGTGGACCATTCTTAAACGAGGCATTTTGGGAAGAAAACCAAGGGAACGCCCAAGTCCTGGAACTGTGGAAAAAAGATGAACCATGGAATGCAAAGACAAAATAGATTAAAAAGATAAAATGGCTAATTCCTTAAAACTGAGGAAAATTACAAGCTAAATTGATTGGGAGGAAAAATAAGTCACACAAATGTGCATAAAGTTGGACGCTAGTTAAGAGGAGCTCATCAGATGACCAAAAAGCCACAATCACAAATATGGAGAACTTTGCCCTTTCTGGTTAAGAGGCAAATTGAAGGAAGCAATTAGAAATAAAAAAGCAATACATATTAAACACAAGAAAGGAGAAGATACAGCAATCAATAAAAATCAGAAGTTATGAACTGCAGAAAATTGATAAGGAAAGCTAAGAGACACTGGGAAAGAATTCCTGGTTGGCAGGACCAAGGACAGCAAGGAGGAATTTTTAAGTGCATCATGAACAAAAGAAATGGCAAAACTAGACGGAAATGGCAAAATTGTTAATGATGCAGAAAAAACAAACACATTCACTAGGAGCAACTACATTTTATTGCCAGTGGCTTCAGCACACTGAGCCTAGGAAGTTACCACTGGAGTTGCACTCAGGACACAAATCTGAAATGTGAAGCTCTCTCATAATATATCTGAGAAATGGAAAGGTTACTCTAGTTGGAGGAATAGAAATGAGATTTACCTGTAACAGGGTGATAATTTTTTAGCTGCATTATGCCCATTTTCTCATCAGTTTTCCTTGCCTGCCCATTATTTTCACCATTAGGAGAGGTTCCTTGCATTTCCCCGGATACAGCAGACTCTTGCCCCAGGCTATCTTCTTCTAAATGCTCTTGGGATGTTGGTGTCTGGGGAACTTTAATCCTATATAAAAGCCACACAGCAATATCAGCACATTGGTAAAGTCAGACAGGGCGCTAATATAATTAATTCTGCAAACAATCACCAGCCATGGTGACAGCCACTGGTCTACAAATTTTCATGCAAAAGCAAGACCAACACCTCTCTTTGCAAATCATTATTGAGGAAAAGGGGTTTGCATGTTTGCTCACACAAGGGAAATAGTGAGGGATGTGAGTCTATCTGCAAAGAACAAAAGGATTTCACTGAATGGCTAATGGTGTCGGCTGCACAGAACACCATTCCCAAAGCCACCAGGACAATCCCTTAGAACTGCTACAAGAGAAGAGTCATTTCAAGCACAGGGAGCATCATCTAGAAGCTTCTATAGGGGAGAGTGGTGCAGTGAGTAATAAAAGGTGCGCCGGCTGGAGGCTGTGATTCTCCAGAGGATAGAAATGGCCTCCTACAATATACAAAACAAGAGCTGTAAGTGAGAAATGATTAAGATTGTAAAATAAGACTCCTCCACTCAATAGCGTGAGCCTGCTAGTTAAATGGAATGTGAGTCTCGAATGGGAAGGTAGCAACAGGACTCCGTGCTTCCCACACAAGGGGTAGGAAGTGTTGAGGTGGAAACCTGTTGAAGACACCTCTCGCCGCAGTTGATGCAGTATCAGGGCCAGGGTCACCTCAAGTCCCCGGATAGGGGTGTGTCATGGAAGCTAGGAGGGATGCCTCTCCCACTTCTTGTGACATGTATGCAGAGGAAATGGCCCCCGGGTGATGGGGGAGGGAGTCAGGGAAATGTCCTCAGTGATTTCAAGAAGGTACAAGCCCCCAAAGGGGGGGG